CGGGCGCCAGTAACGTCTCCATTTGTCCCTGTCGCGTGCTAGTGTAGCCCAATGGCATCTGTTCGCTCCGGGAACATGAAGGGCCTCAAACCGATCATTCATGATCTTGACGAAGAAGTCTGACCATCTGGTAGGTGGGCGGCCACGCGGTCTTTTGACATCCCGTGGAATCCAGTCGGTAACAGCTCTAGTCCAGCGGTCGTCTTTAAATCTCATTACGTGACCAGCCCGTCTGATTTTCGACACCTTGGCAAATGAGACAGCGTCCCTGATTCTTGATCATCGACGGATGTCAGAACTCCGGATTCTTTCTCTCATTTGAGTGAAACGTGATATTCCAAGCATAGCTCTTTCTATTCTTCTTTGGGAGACCTGAATATTATAAAAAACAAAAATATGCAACAAATAAAATATGTGAACTGCAAGACTTAAAATATCATCTATTCCTTTACAGAAAAGTTTGATGACTTCTAATCCAGTACTCTCAAAAGAAAAGGCTATTCTATGGCTTATAAACAAAGATTTACAGAAATTTAGTGATATAGGATAAGTTCTTTCTCTCAGCTGAAAAATAATCCCTCTCTGGGGACTGAGCAGTCATACAATGAATAGGATGCTTGCCTTGCATGAAGTCAACCCAAGTTCAATCCTCAGCACCCCATATGGTCCCCCAAGAACTGCCAGGAATGATCCCTTAGTGTAGAATCAGGAGTAAGCCCTGAGTTCCACTGAATGTGGCCCCAAAATGAAAAAAATAAACAAATAAAATAAAACCCTCTCAATTCCTAATGAAATTATCTCTCATCTATTTACTAATACTTTGCTTTCTTCTCATGTGCTGGTTGTAGAGGTAGAGAAAAGAGACAGGTGTGTAGAAATAAGTGATAGAAAATCATATCTGGGTCCTTGATGCCGGAAGTCACGCCCTCAACCCACCCCTGGCGCCATCCTGCCGCACACAGCAGTGGAGAGTTCCAGCGACCACCACACTACGGGAAAATTCTCCAGGCCCCATACCGAGCTGACGTCATCGGGACGCCCCAGATGGAAGAGGTGCAGCCTCCCCGCCTTCTCCTGATGGAGTTCCAGTGACCATGAGCTTATAAAAGCATGGCTCAGGTATTTGGTGTCAGGACTATTTCTCTGAAGCACAGCCATGCAACCTTTCCTCATATGCAAAGTGAGCGAAGGAAATAAATGATCTAGCGTCTGTTCCTGGAAGGCAGGCTTGAATGGTGGTGGGAATATCCGAGCAAAATATAATGCCCAAAACTAGAGAGAGTATCTGAGCAATTGTCTGCCATAGAGGCAGAGTAAGGACTGGGATGGAAGTGGAGGGGATAATGGGGACAATGGTGGTGGAAAGTTTGCTGGTGGAGGGATAGGTGATCAATCATTGTGTGACTGAATATCAAACATGAAAACTTTGTAACTGTATCTAACGGTAATTCAATAAAAAAAGAAAGAAAGAAAATCATATCTGGACAGACTCATTGAGTCTGTTTGCAAAACCTTCAGCTGACTTATTCTTGGCTGGCCACACATTGACTACATAGTCATGTTATAAAAGTTAAGTCAAATCCCAACTTAGCAAAGTTCTAAGATTTAGGTTCTAGGTTCATATTTAATGATGTCATAGAGAATTAAGAGAAGTTACCCTCATATTCTACCCAGAACCCTACAGTTAATAGGACACAGTTACTGTGTGCAAATCCAGGCAACACGAGATATCCGTCAGCTATTTCTAGGTGCCAGACATGGTGACGATTATTAAAAGCATGGCAAGTATTTATTTGGTTTCTATACATATTTTTAAAGACACTATCTTAATATATTTGGTCAACTTTAAATATTTCCCATCCAGTACTTCTTTATTGCTTCATTAACAAGGTTTTTTTTAATTTGTTCATTTTTAGTTCTTACTCTTCATGTTTCTTGGATGAGGAAAGAGACAACTTCATGCTTTTATTCAGGCTTTTATTTCTCCCTGGTTTTTATTTTTGTTCTGTTGCTAATGGATTCAGACAAGCTTCTAGCATGACTCTTACTGTATCTGATCCCACTTACACCACCTTAACTGTACCTGGAAGTTTTTCTGAAAAGTCAACATATTTCTCTTATCCTAGAAAAAAGAACAGAAACCCCAGATAAGCCCTTGAGTTAGAGTAGAAAGAATGACCAGTAGAATTGCTGATTTCTTAGGTGGCTATGTTATAAGCCCACTTTCTAGCTATTGCTTAATATTTCTGCCATAGCAGATCTAAATACATACATAGGGAAGGAATCATACCTATAAGGAAATTACCTCTGATAGAGGCTCAAGCCCTATCTCCTTTGGGAACATTTGAACCCAGATATTCTCATGCCTATGCTCATTATAGGAGTGCAGGAGGAGAGAGGAAGAAGACAAATTAGGGCCTGGATCTTCCATCCACTAGCGCCCTCATTTACATTCTGACACTTCTTTAAATGAGATTGGTAGGAAGATCTTGCCATGTACTGGGATACAAGAACTTTTTCAAATAGCACATATTTTCAAATCCTTTCAGTTTTTTTCTTAAAATTTCACAAAATAGTCCAGGGTCTCACTCATTCCCTGAGAATCGCTCTCATGCCTTCTGAGAGCCCATGATCTCCTTCCTGTATTTATCCAATTACCACCTATCACAGAGATGAACCTTGTCACCCAGATTGCAATTATTATCCAGTTCTCCCTACCTCCCTCCCTCTCTCCCTTTCTCCTTTCCTCTTTTCCTCCCTCCCTCCCTTTTACCATCATCTTTCCTCCCTTCCTCCCTCCATCCTTCCTTCCCTTCCTCCCTCCATGCTTCCTTCCCTCCCTCCCTCCCTCCCTCTCTCCCTCCATTCTTCCTTCCCTCCCTCCATCTCTTCCTTCCTTCCTTCCTTCCTTCCTTCCTTCCTTCCTTCCTTTCTTCTTTTCCCTTCCTTTTTCTTTATTAGCAATGAGTAGTAACATCCTATGTATTGTACTTTTTGATCTTACCATAAACTTTCCTCTCTTAAAATATAATATAATATGATATAATATAAACTCCATAAAGGTAAGGAATCGTATATGTGTGGGTGTGGAGGTAGCTGAATGTCAGATGCATGTCCAGTATCTACCATAGAGTAAGACTCAATTGGTATATGTTGAATCAGTGCCTATGAAATGGGGGTATTTCCTGCAGAGAACTTAGTCAAATTTATGATCCCAATAAACAATTTATACCATAACTACTTGAAAGGTGGCTTATAAGAGTGGAATCTTCTTATAACTTCAGAAGCAAGTGAGAAATAGTGGCTTGGAATGACTCTCCAAAGAGTTCATTTCATTTGCTGGGCCAGAGAGAGTAAAGGAGGTAAGGCACTTGCCTTGCATGTGGTTATGTTGGCCAAGAATATCCTCAGCCCCATACATGGTTAAGAACAGCCAGGAATCACTCTTGGGCACCATCAAGTGAGGTCCACAAACCCCCCCCCCACAAAATTCATTTGCCCCATTCTAGGGGAATATTGGTAAAAGGAAGAAAGCATATCTTGTCTGCATTATCGGTTTTCTTTGCTTGAAACTAAACACTGTAGCACTGTCCTCCTAGATTTGTTCATAGATTTGCTCGATTGGGCAGGGCACCAATAATGTCTCCATTGCGAGACTTGTTGTCATTGTTTTTGACATATCAAATATGCCACGGGGAGCTTTCCGGGCTCTGCCATGCAGACAGGATACTCTCGGTAGCTTGCCGGGCTCTTCGAGAGGGAGGAGGAATCAAACCCAGGTTGGCAAGGCAAATGTCCTATCCGCTGTGCTCTCGTCCCTATGCAACAAGAATGTCAAAACTCCCTTAGTATAGAGTTGATAAGACATTGCATGGAATGAACCCCATCCATAATTCCAGTTATAGGTCCTGCTTGATTGACTCCTATTAGTGATTTTATGCTCCATATGATGCCTTTTGGGCCAGAGAAATGGATACTTAATTTCCATTATTATGGAGAGCTGGGGATAATTTCATGTGGTGGCACTATAGCACTGTCCTCCCATTGTTCATCGATCTGCTCGAGCGGGCACCAGTAACGTCTCACAACAAATTGTGAGACTTGTTGTTACTGTTTTTGGCATATCGAATATGTCACGGTAGCTTGCCAGGCTTTGCCATGGGGTTCGTGTGGTAGTTGAGGAAATAAACTCTGGAGTCAAGCTTACTAGGTTAGTAATCCCAACTACAACACTCATCAATTGATTGAGCATAAGAAAGTTAATAAACTTCTGTTTTTTTTTTCTGTAAAAAATATTTTATGTAACGTATAAAGAGTAATAATAGCTATTTATTTTATGAAATCAATATGAGATACAAGGCTTTCATGTTAGATTTTCAATCATACAATGATCAGACACCCGTCCATCCACCAGTGCACATTTTCCACCACCAATGTCCCCAGTATACCCCCTTCTTCACCCCTCCCCCTGCCTCCATGGCAGACAATTTCCCCCATATTCTCTCTATACTCTTCGACAAGTAATAATAGCTATTAATGTGTGTTTATATCTTTGTTTTTGAGGCTCAAATCGAGGAGCCAGTAAAAGAATACAATGGGTAAGGTGCTTACCTTGCATGTGGCTGACCTGAGTTTGGTCCCTTTGCATAGCCAGGGGTGACCCCTGAGTACAGAGCCAAGTGTAAGTCAGAAGCACAGCTGGGTGTGACCTCCAAACAAACAAAAAGTTCAACTCCAGATGTTAACTCTCCATCCCTCATCTCTCACTGACCATTCTTAGTTTCTCCCCAGAGTAACATTACCAATTATCATTTCAATCCATCTGGTAGATGTCTTAACTTTTTTGTGGGCTTTTCATTATTTACCAGTGCTTACAAATATACACGGGCTTGAAGATATTTGGGTAAATTAGTGTCTCCTGAGCAGCAGGGGGGCCCCTGGTTGAGGTTTATAAAAAAGAAATTGTCTTGCTCTCTGCGAAGTGTTATATCTCAGTGACCATGCGTGTTTCCTCATCTATCTTCCCGTCTCAGAATGAACTGAAGGCACTTTTGAGCACTGCTGGAAACAAACTTGTGGTGGTCAAATTTTCCACAAGATGGTGTGGTCCGTGCAAGGACATTCAACCCCTGTTTAATGTGAGTATCACCAGTATCAATTCTCATAGCACTGTAGCACTGTCATCCCATTGTTCATTGATTTGCTCGAGCAGGCATCAGTAACGTCTCCATTGTGAGACTTGTTGTTACTGTTTTTGGCATATTGAATACACCACGGTGAACTTGACAGGCTCTGCCATGTGGGTGGGATACTCTTAGTGGCTTGCTAGGCTCTCTGAGAGGGACGGAGGAATTGAACCTGGGTCGGCCGCATGCAAGGCAAATGCCCTACCGGCTGTGCTATCGCTCCAGCCCCATAATTTTCTCATAATTCTCATAATTTAATTTTAATTGTTTGTTTGCTTTTTGGGTCACACCCGGTGATGCACAAGGGTAACTCTTGGCTCATGCACTCAGAAATTACTCCTGGCGCTGCTCAGGGGACCATATGGGATGCTGAGAATCGAACCCAGGTCAGCGTCGTGCAAGACAAACTCCCTACCTGCTGTACTATTGCTCCAGCCCCAATTTTCATAATTTTAAAAGGTGTAAGAAGTTCCCAAATAAGCTTCCCGGGTAAATGTGAGAAGTTTGGCTCCTATCATAGTTTTTTAAGCACACTGACTAACCTGAAGATGACATAGTGGGATCTGATTAAATAACTGGCAAAGACTGAGAAAGATTAATACTGCTTGCCTAGATAATTCTGCCACAGAATAAAAATGACCATAATTGCACACATGAATGAATAATGACATGTTACTGAAGCTTCACAGAATAAAAATGACCATAATTGTACACATGAATGAATAATGACATCTTCCTGAAGCTTCACAGTTTGACGATTCTAAATATTGTAATAGATTACAGACAAACAAGATGCTTGTAGGTGTTTTTTGTTTGTTTGGGAGTTTTTTGCTTTGGGACCAAACCCAGCAGTGCTCAAGAATTATTCTTGGCTCTGTACTGAATAATTACTTTTGGTGGTGCTCTGGGGGCCATATGGGATGTCGGGGATTGAACCCTGGTCAGTCATGTGTGAGGCAAAAGCCCTGCCAGCTGTACTATTGCTCAGACCTCCCAAGATGCTTGTTTTTTAAGATCCATAGTGTGGGTCTGGAGAGATGGTACAGGAGGTGAACGCTTATTTTGCATGTGGCCTATCTGGGTTCAATCCCTGGAATCCCATAGGATCCTCCAAGCCTTACTAGGAGTAATCGCTAAGCACCACTAGGTATGGCCCCAAAATAGATAGAACAAACAAAACATTAAAAATACCATGGGAAACAATAAACTGTCCCCAAATCCTTCAACCCTATTACCAGAAAAAAATCATGTCTCACCTGTTGCTCTTTTTCTTTGGTCTACCTGTCAAATAGACTTTAATGAAATAAATTCTGAAAATCTCTCAAGGACAACCTGGTCTTGGGAACTTTAACATAGGTTAAACCATTCTCATCTCTTTAGCCTCCAACTTGAAAAGTACAAGTACAAGTTGCCTCAGAATTCTTGGGTGACACCATTTCCCCCGAGGCATAAAGTTACTATCAATCAGAATCAGCATCATTTTCTTTTCCCATAGGGCTCATCCCCCGTTGCTACTGAGAGACCTAGGACAACTCCCAGGTGGTACAGGCCTAAAATTTGGTGCTTGAGTTGGTGGTGCATTTGGGGCACCAGGGCCATCCTTCGTGAGATGTCAGGGAACAAATTCAGGGCCTTACAAAAGCTAGGCATGCTCTCCACTGCTTCAGCTATCTCCCTGATCCCAGAACTTTTTTAATTGGGGTAATGCTGTTTCATAATATGTAAGTTTCAGGTGTAAAATATTTCTCATAACCCAAAGCCTAGTTTCCATACATCACCATAAAGGTAAAGGTAAAGGTAAAGGCCCTCCCGTTGATCGTCGATTTGCTCGAGCGGGCCCAGTAACGTCTCCATTGGAGACTTTGTTGTTACTGTGTCTGGCATATCCAATACTCTCGGTAGCTTGCCGGGCTCTCCGAGAGGGGCGGAGGAATTGAACTCGGGTCGGCCATGTTGGCCACGTGTAAGGCGAACGCCCTACCCGCTGTGCTATCGCTCTAGCCCACATCACCATAAACTGACCCTTTTATCCAGTTTACCCACTACACACCCACTCCTCTACTAGTAACTACCATTTTGTTTTTGGTGTCTAAGAGATTTTTTTCACATATTTGTTTTGCTTGCCTCCCCAAAATGAGTGAAATTGTGTTCTTTTTTTTTTTCAATTACACTTAGCACAGCATCTTATAGACCCGTCTGTGTTGTTGTAAAGAGCAGAATTTCTTCAACATATTTTACTTTTGTTCCCCCACATCTGGTGGTGCTGAGGGCTTACTTTTGGCTCTGTGCTTTTGGGATCACTCCTGGCTGTGCTTGGGACAACATATAGGGTGCCAGGGATTGAACCCAGAATGGCCACGGGTAAGGTGAATGCCCTACTCTGGCCCCAGAATATCATTTCTTTTTGGGTTTCAATTCATTTATTTTTTTAAGTGAGTCACCATGAGCACAGTTACAAAGCTGTTCATGACTGGGTTTCAGTAGTACAATATTCCAACACTCATCCCTCCACCAGTGTACATACAGTTCTCACCACACCAGTGTTTCCCTGCTGCCACCCTCCTCTCCCAGCCTGTCTCTGTGGCAGGCACTCTCTCTTTCTCTCTCCTCTCTCTCTTCTTTTTCTCTTCTCTCTCCTCTCTCTCTTCTCTCTCATTCTCTCCTCTCTCTTCTCTCTCCTTTCTCTCTCTTCTCTCTCTCCTTTCTTCGCTCTCACTCTCTTCTCTCTCTCTCTCTTCTTTTGGGGTTTGCAATACAGATACTGAGAGGTTAGTGTTTGTTCCTTTACCTATTTTCAGCACACAGTTCTTATCTAGAATAACAGTTTTCAACTATCTTAGTCATAGTGGTCCCTTCTCTATCCCACTTGCCTCCTTCCCCAGCACTTGAGACAGGCTCCCAATCTTGGACCGATCCTTCTTGCCCGAGTTTTTAATGTCCTTGGGTATTAGTCTAATATAATGGGGTTTTTTTTTATTTATTTATTGAATCACCGTGGGAAAGGTTACAAAGCTTTCAGGTTTAGGTCTCAGTCATGCAAATATCAAACACATTTCCCTTTACCAATACTTTTTTTTTTACCATGAAGAACCCCAATAAAACCCCACCCCCCACCCCTCCCAGTCCCTGTGGGGCAGATGAATTCTAGTTAACACTCTATCTGCTTTGATTAGATTCATTGTTTCAATAAAAGATTCACCACTATTATTTAGAGTTTACCCCTCCCCCAAATCAGACATGCTGAAAAAGCATTGTGAAGTGATTTGCTTTCTACAGCTGGGTTCAAGAATTAAATGTTGGTTTTGGATTTCTGCTATTTTACTTATTGACCCTGGAGGTATTTCTACTGAAAGTCAAATAGTTAAGAAATTGGTTTCTGTGCACTGGAGACGTGGCCGTGCTGGAGAGCCGCTAGTGGGGGGCAACTGGTGGCCTCAGTAGGGTGTGAAGGGTGGACCGAAACGCCCCCCTTCCCATGAGATTTTAGTCGCCCCCAGTACCCCGGCTCATACCTGCTGTCCACAAGGCTCCCATGCGGCCGCCATCTTTCTTTCCAGAGAGGAGAAGGCGACTGGGGCAACACCCTTTCCCCTCTGGACAGACCTGATGGCCTGGATTAACGCATAGTCCATTCACTTTTCTGCTCCAAGCTGCCGGGTTCTGCATTAAGTCCTTGTGCTTCTGGGGCCATGGCCGTGCTGGAGAGCCGCTCGCGGGGGGCAACTGGTGACCTCGGTAGGGCATGAAGGACGGACCGGAACGCCCCCCTTCCCATGAGGTTTTAGTCGCCCCCACATCCCTGGCTCATACCTGCTGTCCACAAGGCTCCCATGTGGCCGCCATCTTTCTTTCCAGAGGGAGGAGGGCGGAAGGGACCAACACCCTTTCCCCTCCGGGCAGACATGATGGCCTGGATTAACGCATAGTCCTTTCACTTTTCTGCTCCAAGCTGCTGGGTTCTGCATTAAGTCCTTGTGCTTCTGGGGCTGTGGCCGTGCTGGAGAGCCGCTCGTGGGGGGCAACTGGTGACCTCGGTAGGGCGTGAAGGACGGACTGGAACGCCCCCCTTCCCATGAGGTTTTAGTCGCCCCCACTCCCCGGCTCATACCTGCTGTCCACAAGGCTCCCATATGGCCGCCATCTTTCTTTCCAGAGAGGAGAAGGCGACTGGGGCAACACCCTTTCCCCTCCGGACAGACATGATGACCTGGATCAACGCATAGTCCGTTCACTTTTCTGCTCCAAGCTGTCGGGTTCTGCATTAAGTCCTTGTGTTTCTGGGGCTGTGGCCGTGCTGGAGAGCCACTCGCGGGGTGGCAACCGGTGACCTCGGTAGGACGTGAAGGACGGACCGGAACGCCCCCCCTTCCCATGAGGTTTTAGTCGCCCCCACTCCCAATGGGGTTTTTTTAACCTTACAAATGAGTGCAATTATTATGTCTGCCCCTCTCCTTCTGACTCATTTTACTCAGCATGATACTCTCCATGTTCATCCATTCATAACAAATTTCATAACTTTATTTTTCCTTACAGCTGCATAGTATTTTGTTATGTAGACATACCATAGGCTGGAGCGATAGCACAGCGGATAGGGCGTTTGCCTTGTAAGCGGCCAACGTGGCTGACCCGAGTTCGATTCCTCCGCCCCCTCGGAGAGCCCGGCAAGCTACCGAGAGTATCTCGCCTGCACAGCAGAGCCTGGCAAGCTACCCGGGACGTATTCGATATGCCAAACACAGTAACAATTGTCACAATGGAGACATTACTGGGCCCGCTCAAGCAAATTGATGAACAACGGGAGGACAGTGACAGATATACCATAGTTCCTTTAACCAGTCATCTGTTCTTGGGCAGTCAGGTTGTTTCCAGATTCTGTTTTTTGTGAATAGAGCTGCAATGAACATACAAGTGCAGATGGCATTTATGCTGTGCGTTTTGGGGTTCCTGGGATA